ATTCCGCTAGTTTTGAATCCTCGCTTCTCTGATTGTATCGTGATCGTGAATGATGCTTGTTGTTTGAGAAATGTACGCGACGAAATGTTTAGGTTTAACGCCCCTTGCACCACTATAAGGTAAGGTTATTGAGTTAAGAGGCCCCGAAGTTAACGTCCTTAAAACGGTTGGACAAAGCCAAATGGGAAATTCGTGTAGTAAAGTGTTCCAAGGACAACAACGTCGGGCCGAGCTGAGTCTGGAACCCCCGAACCTGCAATTTCATGATTACGAGTCGAATAGCCTGCGACGCAGCCACATGCTATCAGATTCCACGCCAATGATAGGTGGACGTGCATGATCTCAATGTTGTTGTAGTTGTCACTGTTCTTTGTCCTCTGTCACATTATTGTGGTTCGTTTCCATAGTTATGCTTCAGGCAAATACTACAGTAGACCAGCGTTTGCTTGTTTTAGAGAGAAAACAAACTGCGACTAGTTTACCTACGTTATATGATTATTGTAATTAGCTTTTGGAATTTCCTGGAGTACAAAATAACAACAACAAACAAACAAACAAGCAATATAAGTCACCCACGTGCAAAAGGAACAGTGATTCATTACGTTGTTAATCCTGTTGCACTTTTACATTGCTTCCCTAAGTCACAGACGATGTCACTCAGCCACTTTCTACAAATCGGTGTGAACGTTCATTCATATTATGTTCACCTCTTCCCTTTCTCAGCTCCGTTACCTTTTCCCTTCTTTTCCTCCTTGTTATAAATGACTTTTTTTTCAAGCCGTTCACGTGCATTTTGTGAATTTTCTTTTAAATATCGTCCTTAGAAATTCGAGTTGGCAGCTGTTGTCTATTTAAAAGTTATTCTAGACATGTTAGAGAATAGTTCAATAGGGTCTGCAACGCCTTAAGTGGGTAGTTCTAGCTGTTGAAGATGATCACGTGTATCTAATATTATTTTGTGGCCATAGACGACAGCCAAAGTTTCGTTTTCGCGTTTCCTTTTGGCTAATGCCGACCCTTTCATCGAACGCGAGACACCCTATTTTTTCATTCATACCCAGCACTGGTATCTGTTTAGGTTCTTCATTTTTTGCTTTCGATACGCGAGTATTTACATTGATATGTCGAAGGTATTGATTCTACACATTGTTAACGTTCTATGTAGATCTACACAGTGTCTTTTGAACTTGGCTCTCCTGCGCCAGTCTAGGTTTAAGGGAGTGTGTTCGTTCCTCGAGGCATTTAAAAAACGGAATTCAGAACAGTCAATTATTCTTCAGAGCTACGCTGTTGCTTGTTTTTTGGGTACAGTTTGCCTGCAGGGTTGTAAAACGTGTAAAATAAACCCAACGGTTGTCGTTGCTATCGTTGTTATAAAAACGTTTTGAATAAATGCTTGTGTTGGTATTTTATAGAACGATTGGTTTTCAAGTCCATCTTTAGAGATCGAGAGAGAGACAGAGGAGAGAAAGGAGAGAGAGAGAGAGAGAGAGAGAGAGAGAGAGAGA